CCAGTTATGAGTACTCTGAAATCTTTCATAGTGAAAGCTGCTACAGCTATTGCTATCCTATTTGGTTCACAGCTAGGAACAGTTTAAATCCAGAAATGGAAAAAAATCTCTATTTCAGTAGGTAGAAGGAAATGGCTAGAGAAAAGCCTGCCTTATAAGCCTACTTGTCAGAACAGATTTTCCTGCAGAGAGAAATAAATGTTTGAAATGTGAACTTATAAGCAGCCTCGGCATGAATCCCAGTAGAGCCAAATTTTCAGAACACGTTATATGTCTTCCTTTCTATTAGAATCAACAAATCACATTCTTTACCAGTGGGAATGGAAAGTCCATCTGAGAAAAAAGCAAAAAGCATTAAATAATCCCAAAGGAAAAACATAAAAGGTTTTGCTGGGGGAAAGAGGGTAAAGTAATAATAATAACAATACCCTATGCATCAAGTGACTTTTGAGATAGCATTTTATATTTTACAAAGACAACAGAAATTTAGCAGGCTCAGTGCAAATAACCTACAAAAAGAATACAAATACTCTGAACTCTGTTAGAAATCCAGGTTATATGAAGATAATGCAATAGAAGGAAGAACTTCTCATGCATTAGGTCAATGCTGAAATATTTAGGTTTGGAAAATATTTTTACAATTTCTTTATGTATTTATGAAAATATATTAACATGGGAGAGCAAGTGTGCACCCTTCTAAATGAAACCTTATGCTGGTTTGGCTCAAAGGCCCTATTTTGAGCTAAAATTTCTAAATGAAGTGACAAGCCCCTGGTCTTTAGCACATGAGTGGGCACTACACAACACCTGCTCAGCACAGTGTGAAGAAGAGACAGGTTGTTCTAGGACACAGTTCTACAATTTCATGTTCAGACTGCTCTTTACATGTCTATCCCTACGCAGCCACTTCCACTCAAACTACATTGAGTGAAACCTCTGATATAACCCAACGTCTTCATTGACAAATACTAGGGCACCAGGCTCAGGAATCCAGACCGGTGCCAAAAGCTTTCACATTAATACTTTCTATTGCTATGATGTGTATGTATTACATGCCCACTTAGCTCTTATGTAAGAGCAGGCAGCTACACAGCTGTTTTACTTTGAACGTCAAAGAAATGCAAAACAGGGTAGCTAAGTGTACTGGGGAGGGATGGCCATTCACTGAGCTGGCGCTTGCACCTGCAGCGTGCTCAAGACTTTGCTCTTAGACCACTGTGCTCTCAGGCCAACAAGCACCTTCTCTGAGGTTGGGCTGGCAGGGACCCCCAAGAGACTGCCGCTAAGAGAGGTCTTGGACACAGGCTGGCTGCTGTAGCTCTGCGCTAAACAGCCAGTCCATCCAGATGTAAAGCACAGCAGGAAGTCAGGAGCTACTGAACTTGTCCTGACAGGTAATCACTCTGCCTGAAGCATCACTAGTCCAGTTGCAAGTGTGGTCAAGCACCGCAGTCACTGTTCAGGCACAGGTAAGCAGCTTATCCAAGGTGTGAATTGGCCCCACGTACAAGCACCACAACACTGCCTGAAGGGGAAGGAGACAAATTAATCCAGGCTTCCTGCCACTCAGGTTTGAGTTTTGCTGCCTTATGCTACTGGAGCCCCTAGGGCAGTCTATCCTGCAAGGGACCAAGGAAAGATTCACTTTATAGAGCAATTACTGCACTAAGAAAATTTCTTGTAGCTTCAAATAAAGCAACCCTGAGAATGGAGCCTAAAGAGTCCAATGTGCTTCAAGAACATAGTTCCTGTGTACAGGACACAGTGACCGAGCTAAGAATGAAATACTGCGCAGCTCTACACAGAAAACCATATATTCCTTCATCGACTAACGATGATTCTATTAGAGCAGCGTACGAAGGGAAATTTATATTTGTTTCTGCATTTCTTACTAAATCAAATTAGAGATCAATTTGGCAATTCATCAACTTTTACCATCCCCCACAAAATACAAAAGTAATATATCCCTCCTCAGACTCTTGACACAGTCCGTAGGAGCCTCCTGCCCACTGCTCTCCTGCTGTCCGTCCTGCAAGGACCCTCCTGTTCAAGGATTTTAAAATACAACTCCATTCACCTTTCAGGTGAAAGCTCTGCCAGGACACAATACTAAGAGAAGACTGTTGACAGTGAGAAACATGAATGCCCAAAATGATATTTTAAAGATAATGACACATGCATAATAAGGCTTGCCGCCTTATCATTGATTTCCCTCCTTTCTCCCCTCAAATTCACAGCCGAGGGAAGAGGGGGCTGAGAGAGGAGCGAGCCCACCACGATACCCGTCTCCTCTCCCAGGCTCTCTCTGCCGCTACTGACACATTTTTGGAACAGCTTTATAGTGTCGACATCAACTTAGCTAAGAAGATCCTTTTGATTACTATTATTTTATCCCACGCAGAGGAAGGTCACTATTTGCCACAATTTTCTTTAACGTGCACAGAGAGGGTTAAACGGTCACAGCCACACAAATCCTCCACCTCTCGTTCACCTCCCCAGGAAGGGAGACTGGGATTTAATTCGATCTGGGTAGAGCTTTATTTTATTGACTCCGAGCAAACTCTGGAGTCCCAGCAGGGTTGCAGGAGGGATCACTCGCCACAGGGGAGGCTGCGCGTCGCCTCACCGGACCGCCCCGGCCCCCGGCCCGAGCACGCCTCCCTTCCCGGGGGAAACCCGAGCTGCCGCGGGCAGCTGCCGGCCCCGAGCCGCCCGGACCCGCCGCCCCCCTCACCTCCTTCTTCACGTTCCACAGCAGCTTCTCCTTGGCGGCGTCCGCCGAGCAGCTCATGGCGGAGCGCCGAGCGGGGCCGCCCGCG